CCTGGCTTCTGATTTGGGCCAAAAGCAGATTTCCCATTTAAAAACAACAATAAATTTTGTTTTTCAAATACTAGCAATACTGAGAAAGTCTCCTTGATATTACTAATATAAACCCCAGAATTAGACTATCATCATAAAATAAGAACAACAAAACAAACCAACTGTTCCTGTCTTTTAAGTCAGCTTGATATCCAGTTTGTAAACCAGCATGAGATGGTGACTCTTGCACCACTGCAGGGTTTTATCTGGTTTTGTTTCCTATACCATCCTTACCTGGGATAGGACTCAGTCCACTGAAGAATTAGGTTCTGTGTGCCCTCGTGGTGATGCAGAAGCAGAGCAAGAGCTTACACTACCATAATCTGATGAAAGAAAATATAAACTTAAATATGATCACTAAACTGATGACTAAAGGAGTAGATGCACACACAGTTTACGTTATTTAGTTCAATTTTGTATAAAGTTATTTACAACACAACAACAGATATTGTCACACCCACGCCAATCTGTTTCTGTATTTTTTAATTTCTGATTTTTAAACACAATGTGAGAGTTTTAGTTTGATCTGTTTCTTTATCTCTTCTAAATTACATAGGACCTGCAGCCCAAAAATCAGTCTAATATCACCACTATTAGAAGGACCTAAATCTTGAATTAGACTTTTTTGAAGTCACTATTGGATACCAAGTGACATCCATTTTCTCACTCATATTTCTAGTGAGTAGAAGAAGCAAGGCTAATGTGTTTGACCAGAAAATGTCAAGGAGAAAAATGTGTGAGTGCAGGCACTCAGCAGGTAAGACTACCCCAACCAGCACTGGTGTTGCAAGGCCTGGTGTCCTTTTTACACTTCTCAAAGTTCTTTCTCATCCTGGGAATCTTCTGCAGAGATCTTTTTCTAAATCCAGGCTCCCAGTGAGAGAGAGCGTGTGAAATCTTAGCTGCAGCAGTCACTTCTGGGATCCCAATTGGAAATATTCTGATCAATACCTGAGTTTCTCGCTCTGCCTCAAAATGCCAGGTCATGAGCTCATTATTTTTTGCAGTCATCTCTGCCAACTTCCAAAGCCACGTGGCCCCTCCAGAGGCCAAGGCCTGCAAGGCCTGTGGTCCACATGCACACTTGGTTTTGTACAGGCTACACTCCTGCTGCCAAGATGCTCATTTGAAGTTCACATTCCCTGTCCTTGGGAAGAAAATACATATAGTAATTCACACATATTATTAAAATCTGAGAGGGGAAAAAGAAAGGAAGGAAAATTTGATGGATCACTTCTACTTGTCACCAAAATCTCAATCCACCAAAACATTCCTACCAAACTTATGCTTTAAAAAAAATTAAGAAATCCTTTATGCATATATTGGGATAGATCTCATTTTTGTAAGGGTAGCTGGGCCAGCTAAATCTCAATCCAACATGACCCTCTGTTAGGAGGGAATAAAACAAGCCTTCTCCCCCTCACTCACAGAAGCTGTACTGTGCATTGATACTTCAGCTATGGGGGGATTTTCCCCCCTTTGCTGTTGCATAACACAAGATTCTTTTGTTCTCTTTTATTGACAGATCCCTATTGTTTCTCCACAACAGTAGGACAACCTTCAGGCATGTAATGTTTGCTACTGCTCCATGACACACCAGCCCCTGCTTTGCTATTTCTATTCTCCTCTTTGCTATTATGACACAAAAATGGCTGCGTTGCAGTGACAACACTTCCCTGCAGCCCTTGACTTTTAGATGATGAGAGGTGCTACAGCATTTGGAGATGACAAGGTAAAATGTAGCAGGAGCTCATTATTTCTGCCCCCTCAGTAAATCTGGGTTCCTCTTGGCAAACACACAGCAAGCACAAAAGGGGGGAAAGATGGGAGAAGATGGGAGCAGGCACTTCCACCTCTGTATGTTTATGTACCAAGAGAGAAGGTGCACTAATAAGCCTTAACCACTCTTTTCTAGCAGAAGCTGCCCAACACTGAATTCTCTTAAAATAAAATAAATTTGCCAGCTCCATAGTGACATGAGCAGAAAATTAAGATGCTCTTTATTACACTGCTAAGCCATGATCTACAGGCGTTCTGCTGCTCCAGACCACCATGTAATCCTGGAACCAGCAGTTTAATCTTTAAGCTCAATAATTTCCATATCTACAAAGACCCCAATTTCCACCAATTTCACATTTCCAGGTTTTAAATTCCGCAGGGCAGTACTCACTTCTTCCAAAGTACCTTTGCAGTGCTTAACAAAGGCACTCTGACAAGAGTGAGAGTCTAAAACCATCATGAGAGCACAGGCACCAGTACAAACAGTTCTGTGCTCCAGGTCTCAGAACTCCACACAAGACTTAAAAGATTGCAGTTTTTAGAAGACTTTGAGTACTTCTCTGAGGACAATCTTCAGCAAATTAAGAGAGGAGATCCCTGGGTTCTAGACAGAGATTCTCCTGGAAGAGCAAGGTCCTTCCCACACAATAGTGAAACTCTGGAAACACACATTTTAGTGGTAACTCAAAGCTCCTCAGCCATCATCTTTTATGATTTACTGTTCCCACGCTTTTTCTCCCTGCATGGTGAAGACCACGTGACCTTTTCCCTGCCTAGGATCTTGGCAATTAAAATGTATGAAAAGAATTCACTGGTTTATCAGATGAACTGAAAGGTATTGGTGTCTCTTCCTATCAAAGAAGGCTTTTCCTGCTGTGCCAAGGTCAGCCTGAGATGTGATCAGTGAATCTCTGAACACTGACCCAGCAATAAAGGAAAGAACTTGTGCTGAAAACCTGAGGCCTTTTTCCAATAGCTTGTGAGGTTTACCCTATTTTTACTGAATTTTCTTGGATGTGATTAGTACATTTGTTTCTATGAGGTTATGATTAAAATAATTAAATATATCCACAAATCACTTAACACACTCTCAAACTCAGCAACTATTTTAGTCCTGTCATTGCATAGCTGGAGATTTCAATTTTAAGATTCTCACTGGCTCTAGAAGTTTGAGAAAACACTCATATGGTAAAAAGCACAGAATAGGAACTATTACATTTTAAGACTTCAGAAAAGAACAATTAGATTTGCACTTTGGCTCTTAGTGACTTCAGAGAACAAAACCAATAAACTCTTCAAATGCAGTTAACAGCAATTATCTGGCCAATCATCAGTCCTACCCAAAACCTGAGGTCTATATATGCAACAAATGTTTTGGGATTCGGGTTTGTTTCATTTTTTTTTAAGAATAACAGTTTTCTACTCCTACTGATTAACTTCTGTGGTGCATAGGTAAGTGCACCATTGCTACACGTGAAAGTTAAATTTAAATCAGAATTTTAAACTTTTCCAACACATCTGAGATGGCAGAGGAGATCAGAACATGAGCTTCCAATACTTGTTGTATTTTACAAGTAGGTTGGTGATATTTTTCAAGTAGAAAGTTTTCCAATCACTTTTTCAAACTATTTTTCACGCCTGACAAATTTCACTCTTCATTTTTGATTAACAATACTTGACCTGGTCTTTGTCACATTATATATTGCACCAATGACACCCTGACTCTCTGGCATACACACACACCTCTCATGGCTCCTTGTATGCCCATCTGGAGCCAGATGCCACAAAAGCCTTCTAGAAATAAAGCAGATATGCAGCTGCTCCCTAATCACACTGGGACAAGCTACCACAATTTTAATTCACCTAAGCAAACTGTTTTTTCATCTCCTGGGGCACAGAACACCAGCTGCCACCACTGTACTGCAAGCAGTAGTCAGTTAAAACATGTACTAGTGCCATAGTTGCAGTACCAGGATCCTTATGGGTCCCTTCCAACTCGAGATAAAGAATCATAAACTATCTTTCAGGACCTTTTCCACAGGTAACTCTTATTTAGATTTGGGGAAAAAAAACAAAAAACATTTCAAGGCTCAACTACTAAGATGCTCAGTAGCATTGAAATTTGACCATCTAAATGGTCAAAGGTGAAGAGACAGCCACTACTGCCACCCACTCCCCTAAAACACTCCTATTGCAGTTAATCATTATGTGTCTATTAGGCTAGTTGTGTCCTTAACAACATAATTAAAAGTACATTTTTGATTCTTAATTATGCACGTCTTTGCAAATAACATTAATTTTTAGAAAGATGCTCCAAGCCATTCTCTCCCATTTCCACTGTTTACCTGGATTGAAAGCTGTTTGATACTTCTCAGTGTAAAGAGTCTCCATTTGCTAGAAATTGGAAAGTTGGCAAGTTTAAATAAGGGCATAGGAATAACACTGAAGTCAGCAGCAGGATCTTATCCACGGTGTAATTCTACACAGGGAAGAAATCACATTTGCAAAGTTGAAAAGGGGAGCTAAGAATACTCTGTCAGACAGCCCAGTAAGTCAGTGCACTCACCAGCTGAGAAAGCATGTCGAGCAAAAGAAGTTGGTTACTTTGCAGCAAAGAAACCTTTTTTTAATGACAGTTTTAGGGCTGACTTCTGTTGCAGTCTGGATTGATGAGCATTTTTCAGCAGGAGGCTGGAAACTGACTCTAGTTGAATTTATAACATATGAATTAAAAAGTTCATTTTACAGTGCTTTTTTTTTGTCATTATAGACAACTTCATAACTGTAATACACATTTAGTTGCCAGGAGAAAACAGTTTTGGCAAAAGAACAACCACCAGTTAACATCCTAGAACCCAAAAATTAGGTGCCTGACATACACAACAGAGAGGAAAAAATATCATTGAAAAGTTGTCAATTTTTCATCCTGAAAATCAGTTCATGCCTGTGAGTGATATGCTCATAATAAGTTCTGAATTTGCAGTAAACTATATCAAAATCTGATGGAATAAACAACTGAGAACAATAAAACAGTGACAGTTCAGAGCAATTCCTCACTCACGCGCTGTTTCTAACCAGAAAAGAATCTCCAGCTTCATGCAAAGGACTGTAATGAACAAAACCCACAATTCATCCACAAAGACCAGAATTTGGAGGTCACTTTAACTGCATCTGCTTACATCAGCAATAAACTCTTTATTTAAGCTGAAAGTTCACTTACAAAACTGACAAACTTGAAGAATCAAGACATCTGATGACACAGGACACCACAATTTACAGCTTCTCAGACATTCTCCTGATTTCAAGGCCTGTTCTACTTGCAGAAAAGTGGAAAAGGTGATTTTGTTGACAGAAGCACAGTTCATACACATGACACGACCACACACCTGCATCACAGCATTCCTTAATAAAGGCAAAAAACACTTTGTACAAAGTTATTAATTATGTATTCATTTGTAAAGGTAACTCCACTGACTGAACATTTATTTATAAACACTAGCAGAAGTTTGACAGTTTGATACTTGAGACACACCACACCAAAAGCACACTTTTTACTCTTGTCCAAACCAGTACAAAAAGGCAGCACCACAAAGCTGTGGAGTAACCCAAGGACTGATGTTTTTATTAGAGATCTAGAACGTTTATTCCAGAGCCTTCTCACCTGCAGTCCAAAATTCACTAAACCAGCTCCCAGTTCCAAGTTGTTTGTGAGCCAGCTTATTTTGATTTCACTCACTCAATAGCTGAGCAGCTTATTGTTCCTAAACATGGTTAAGCAGCATATTTTTGCAGACTCATCTGTGGTGTAGTGACCTACTGTCAAAGTAAAGGAAACTAATGCAAGGGTTGTATTTTTACACATGTACACAAACTACCAGAAAAAAGGCAATTTTGTTCACATAAGAAACGGATATTGTGGCATATCCTGCTAAAATATCATTTGGTGAATTAATCCATCTCACAATGGAGATGAGTGAATACTGGCAAAATTTTAAATGAAGTTTAGGAACTATTTCCTTGATGCAATATTTAAAAGTCTGAATTACTCACAAATTAAGCTGTTCAGTAAACTCACCTCTGTGCTTTCTTCTTTTATGACAAAAAACCACTTCAAGGGACATTTGAGCACCACTATTTTCTCACAGTACTGTTTGTTTACACACTTCCTAACCGAAGTCCAATTCAGATCCCATATTCCATTCACTACCAGTTAAACCTCTCATTACAGTTCTGAAGAACTGCCACACGGTGGAGGTAGATGCCTACAACTTGAAATGAGAGGCAGAGGTGATGCAGTATCTTCATTTTATGTTAGTGTAAATTAATTACCTAAATTAATTATCAAATTACTTGCTTTGAAAGCTCCTAGAAAGCTAAACTGAGGAGGGGTAGAAGGAAAAAAATAAAGACCATCTCCAAGTTATAAAAGTCTTCACCAAAAATAAGTTTAAATTGTAGGATAATTGTCATTGAAACAATACAACAAACCCTTCTACAATTTAAAACCTGTGCAGATCTATATACTAAGAGAATTAGATCCCTGAGTAACATGCTTGTGATCCAGGCAGACAGCAGCAAATATGTATTTCCGAGTTTTATTTTAAACTAAAGCCATAATCCTAAAAACAAAAATGTCATGTGCAGTCTTACAAGAAACCCCATACATCTAAAATCAGAACTCCTTTTCATGAGTGTGTTCTCATCACTGAGGTCCATAACTTTGGCTCTAATGTAAATCCCATCTAGCAGAAGAGAATTCTTCCTCATTGCAAAGCAGCAGATCCTCCATAACAAAGGGGCAGAACTGGATTTTCCAATGCAGCGCTACCCAACAATAGCAGCTGGCCTGGAAAAGGGTTGAAGACTTGAAGACTCTTGCAAGTGTTTCAGAAATTTTTCACAGATGGACTTCAACAGCCTCTGCCCTTCCACACGTGGCCCCTGGACACCCACATAATAATTATATTACCAGGAACACAAACAGTGGTTGGTGCACTCTGGGACTGTCATGTTCTCAGACTGAGCAAGCCCAAATCATTGATACCAGGGTTTAACTAGTACTCAACACTAAAACAACACATTAAGTCCTACCAGCAGTCTTCACCAGCAGAAGCCACATCATTTCTTAACGATCCTGTCCAGAAGTGCACAGATTTACATGTTCTGAGCTTCCTTCTTCCCCTATTTACTACATACATCCACTACTCCCAAGTGCTTTTACTCTACAGGAAGCTGCAACAACTGATTACTGTAGTCATTCCTAGAGTTAGGAGAAACAAGAAACTAAGATAAACAACTCAGTACAGTTTTAAATCTGTAAAACAGATCAGCCAGACTACTGTCTTGGGCTCCAGCTCCTTCCTTACGTATTTAGCTTCAGACTTACTTGGTCCAAGTTCAACATTATCACTTCACTACACCAAATCCAGCACATATCACAACTCTCCAGCACACCAGAAATGTATTCTGCCAAGCAACTAGCAAAACAAGAATTTAGCTGAACTCCCTTTATTTTTCTCCAGTCATATGCATGGCAAATACTTTTTGCCAAGAGAAAGCCAGATGTATTTTGAGAAAACATGTTCAGGTGTTAAGTCTGAGTAGTTCCCTTTGATCAAATGCAAATGGACAAGTAGCAACCAATATTCTAAAAGCATAAGCCAGCAAATCCATCAAATGCATCTCAAAAATCTCTGAATCTGCCTGCAGGTGTGTTCCTTCTAAAGCGTTCAGTGAAGAACAAAGTGCCCCGAGGTAGAAACCTTACTTCTCACTAAGTGCTTTGGGGATTTTAGTCAGGACCATCTCTAGCTTAATCCTGTAAACTGGATGCCCATCAGCACCTGAGGGACATCAGGCATGCTGCTGGACTAATCTTGCAATCTAATTTTATCAGAGGAATGCAGCTGAAGAACTTTGAGACCACACTGCAGTGTGAAGCAAAGCATGGAAAGGGGTATAATTGGATTCACCTGACCAACACACTACTGACCCAAACTAAAAGGCTGATGTTGACCACACTAACACAGCCACAAAGTTATTAAAGGAATAGTAGTTTCCCAAGTATTATGAAAAAAAATTGTTCTTTTCCCAGATGAATGAGACATGATTACTTGAGAGGCTCATCTCCAAAACTTCCAGGGGGAAAAGTTCAATTCAAAAAGTAAAAATAATTCAGCCAATACCTTAAGAGAAAATTTCTTAGAAAAGTCTTGAAATGAAAGCAGCTGTGGTCACCAAACATTGCATTTTCCTATTTAGCTACTTCAACTCAATGTTTTCTAGTTTAGAATGCTACAGTTTGTTACCTGTTAAGTGCACACTGCTATAAAATACCCACAGAGGCAACATTTAACCATTAGCTAGTTTGAAATCCAGTTTGTACTGCTTTGTAAAAATCAGCAGCACCTCCTCTGCTGATAACACTTCAATAAACATTAGACAGCATCATCTTTAATAGTTAAGAGCACTGCAGATAGTTTTTCCTAACAGAACTCATACTTGTTTAAAAAACAACCAAAGGAAAAAACTTCACTTGATCTTTATTAATAAAAAAAAAAGAGTTCAAAGGCTGCTATGACATTTAGAACAGTATGCCAGAGATAATTATAAAACAGCAATGAATCTTAATTTTAAAAAAATAAAATGACACATACTAAGAACAGACTCTGTCCCTGGGAGCCAGCTGTGCATAGTTTTCTTCCTGTAAATAGCCCATCATCTCTCCAGAGGGGAAAAAACCCAAAAAATTAAAGGCATCAGTAAATGTAGCTGCCATTTTAAGCATTTCCATCTTACTGGGAAATAACTCGCAGAAAGTAATTATAGAGAAGTCAGTGCTGACATATTTTCTACAATCATGCAATTGGAGCACAAATGGGAATAAAGCACTTTTATTTACACTTAACTCAGTTTGCAAACCCACGTGTACATTGCCATCATTTAAAGTGCAAGCTACATGTCTGCTGAATTAACTGAAGGCATTTAACAGGCGCTGTGGGAGATAAAACACCACCTGTAGTTATACAACTAACCACGGATCCAGCTCCAACCCTGACCAGCTGAGTGTGTTCCTGCCTCTGGGATATTACCAGCCAAACACATATTCCATTGCTTTGGATACAATACTTTCATCTTTCCTAGGAGTCTGTCTGTCAGAAACCACCTACAATGGAAGGGAGAAAAAAGAAGAGAGAAAATAGAGTCAGTCAATACAGCTAATTCTTTTTACACTAACCCATTTTTATTTCTTTTCCTAAGGACTACTGCATTTTGACAAAATATGTTTGAAATCGTTTCAAAACAAGCCCTTAATCCCTGTAAAAGTGACAAATAATTAATTTTTTATTATTATTATTATTTTAGAGACTGAACAGACTGAAGCACATCTTTAAAGAAATGACAACAAAAGATAAAAGCTAAGGTCACGTTGAAGTTAATCGTCTGTACAGCCTCACACAACCAAGGGGAGACAGCACAAAAACACATGCTTCTTTTTCCCTTAAAATACCTGATAGTCACTAGTGGAAGCTTTATATGCTGTTGCAAGAGGTCTCATTGTAGAAATCCTTGTAGTATTATTTGCAAGTTGTATTGGTGTGCCAGTAGATTTTGTAGGTGGAGTGAAAACCGAAGACATTGAGGATGTAGAGCTTCTTTCAGAGTTTTCCATCACACTCTTAAAAAGAGGGGTAATATAATGTAAACAAATACTAAAAAGCAGTATTCCAACCTTATCTAAAATTCTCTACTATCTAAAATTGTTTGATAAAATGTATTCATACATTCATACAAAAATAAATGGCCTGTCAGTAAAGAGCACGCAGGTACAGACCACCACCAAGCATTTTCCTCACTGCAATCATTCACATGTTGGATTATGCCATTGCAAAGTAGTGAAAGCTTGGAATCTGTTCACAGTCTGTACTAAATGTCAACCAAGTTTGAAACAGTGTAGAGAAAATATATTGTACTAATTGCAACAAACTTCAAGTAGTAACATGTTTCAGGCCCAGTGGAACAAAGTAGCATAACATTCACTTTCTAAATACTTCTAAAATATTTGACCAGATCCAGACAAAACTGTCTTCAAGTCTTTAGCAACTCTCATCTTTTGCTCAGACTCAGCTTGCCAAAGAGTTTCATTCACTCCCTTTAGCAGATGCCAGAAAAGAAGTCAGAAGGCTCCATTTTGTAAGCTTTTGTTTGGAAAGGAATGCATGTAAAATCAAAGAGGCATCAAGTGACTTGATGGGCACCACGAGTTCCACAAGAACCCAGAGGATACATGGTGGGAAATAACAACTAGCCTGGGGGGGCAAATTTTCAGTTCAATGTACTAATATAAACTCAAAAGCCAGAAACACATGAAGAGTCACATTAAAAAGAGAGGGACAATAAGGAGGAGCAGCACAGTCCTAATCTGCCCTCACTTATATATTGCAGCCTCTGAGCGCCATAAATTCCAGTTGGGAAACTTCTCTCAGTTGCCTCACGTTACAGTTTCATTTCACTACCTTCAATAGCAGTATAATTCTGTGCACTGCTACTTCCAAGGAGCAGAGGCTGCCCACAACGATCCTTCTCAGCAGGAAATGTTGACAAATACTTAAGAAAAGAACTGGTGTAATGTGTAACATTCTATACCTACACAGCTACATACGCTCCGCAATTCCAAAAGAAAAAAAATTAAACAGGTCAGGGGAAAAAACAAAAAGGAAGATCAAAAGAAGAGTGCCTTATATTTAACTAAAAGCAGCTCTTAACTTACTTTATCTATACAGGGCTTGACACCAATCATGATGGATTCACCAAAAATTCTTCCATCTTTGCTTAAGGCTTTCCGGGCTTGAAGCTTAGACTGATATCGAATGTGCATCCAGTTTCCTGTGTTGGACATCTGTGGGAGATGAGGTGAAAATTGTGAAATGCAGCTTCTTAAATACATGAGTCCCAGTGTTTTCAGAAATAAGTGTCAAACTAAGACATACCACGTGCTTTAATATGTTTCCATACTGAGCAAACTGTAGAAGAATGTAGGAAGCTGATGCTTGAGGAAATCTGAAGGACAGAAAAATGCAAAAAAAAAAAAAATTACTAGTAGTTTAAGAATTCAGGTGCTAAAATACAATCCTATGAAGGGTTTATAGAAATCCAGAAGAGAGCAGTGTGAAACCAATTTAGAAGCAGCAACTTGAGGAATACTACCTTCTAGGCACTTTTACTTCACCACACACCTCCATGGCAGAATGGTGCCTTTCTAACTTGAAAAAAAATAACATTTAGCTTAAGTTGACTCACTAAAAACTATGTTTGCTTGCTTTAACCACAGCTGTATTTCCTGCACACCTACGAATGCCAGACAACAGCAACCCCCAAGTATTTCCCTTCACATGTCATGAACACTTCACCCAGGTTGTTCTAACAGTCTGGAAATCAGCTTACCCAAATACAGTTACCCATGTGTCATCAAGCTGATCTTCTGAAGTAAGGGAATCACCTTGAGTATAGAAAGGATCCAGCTGAGCAGGAGACAGAGTAGTTTTCCTAGGCTGCCCAATACTTGCAGGACTGAACACGCTTGAAGCTGTTAAATTAAAATGGCATCGTTGAACAGATTTCTTTTGCAAAACAGAGAAGCTTAAAAGTCTATAATACAAGAATAAATTCAGTACCGAGCATTTCACTTGTATATGGAGGAGTCTGATGGAGATTTACTCACAGACACAGACAAAAAGTAAGTCAATCCAAACTTCATATCCACAAGGGTGCTACTAAGTCTCACAACTAAATCAAGATCAGAAACCTTATGAAGATGGAAGGTGACCCATCAATCTCAGCTGCTTAACTCGAGTACAACCACCTCTGTGCTCAGTTCAACAACACTTTTTGAAGAAGGAATAAGTAAAGTTGATCAAAAAATTCAGTCAGTGTCAGAATGGATAATTATTTCCTACTCATACACCTTCTGAAAAGCTAATAAATACACACTTCCTTTGCAAATTAGTAAGGAATTGATGTAGTTTCAACAGTGATGACTCTTCTGTATTAAGGAAAGAAATAAGAAAGCAGATTATATCCTTTTACAGGACATCTACCTGTGCCTGGAGTTGATGGCAGAATTCCAACTGATGGGCTCTGTGTTAAGGAGAAGTTGGCCTGCATTGAAACACAGAAAGTAACAAATCATTCTTACAGGTATACACTGCTCAGATCATTTCAGGTGATTTAAGCATCAGGCAAGAATATTAACTGTTGCCTTAACTTACTCCTAGTTTTTGAGAGTAAGAACATGTATATTTAATACAAGATTATTAAGAGTTACTAATGAAAAGTTATTTGTACTTAAATGTACTTGACATATGCTTTGTGAAGCAAAGTATCAGTACTCAGAAACCTTACAGTTTAGCTTTTTCAAAATAGTCATCTCACTTATTGCTGCAGTACAGTAATTCACACATCCATGTGATGGGAATCCTGATGGGAAGAATGTCAGCATCCTAAGGCACCAGCATCTAATTCTCACTTCCTAAAGGGTTCAGAAATCATGGGATCACTTGTATTCCTCACTACTAGACTCACTTTCCTGCTCAACTACTTAGTGCAACTGCACTGAAGTATACTTCAAGTTTTAGCTGTTAGTACTTTTTTTCTTTTTAACACAGGATTTCAACATCCCAAACAATTTTAGTGTATTTTTAACCTGAATCATGGCATTTCTTAGATACAAGCCCAACCAAGCTGGAGTGCCTGTGGACATGGCAACATGTGTTCTGACAGCTGTTCCATACCTTTTTCTTAATTTAACTTCCAGTCTTTTAAGACAGTTGGATTCTGTCTGCCACAGGGAACCTCAGCTTCCAGAACAAACTCTTCAGAAGGCAACATTCAATAGAGAGACTGCTCATTCAGTGAAAAGCATTCTCCTTGCATCAGAAGGATCATGTCCAACGGAAAAGAACCTAATAATGCTTGACTACTCACTTGAGGTAAGTAGCAGAGCTTATTATAAAAAAATTACCCTGTAGAAATTTTAGTGTTCCTCTTTCAAAATTAACTCCACCTTCCTATCCAAATTTTGATTAGATATTTTACTCAGAAAAAAATTCCTTCTGTTTCAGGAAGTGCCTCTATTGCCCACTAAAAGATAATCAGAGAAACAGAATTGTCTGGGTTGGAAAAGACCTCTAAGATCGAGTCCACTAACACACCACTGCCATCTTCACCACTAAACCATGTCCCCACGTGCCACATCTTTTTTGAACACTTCCTGAGATGCTGATTCCAACACTTCCCTGGGCAGCCTCTTCCAACGCCTGACAGCCCTTTCAGTGAAGAAATTTTTCCTGCTATCCAATCTAAACATCTGCTGCTGCAACTTGAGGCCATTTCCTCTTCTCCTATCATTTGTTACACCTGGAAGAAGAGACCAACCCCTATCTGCCTACAACCTCCTTGCAGGGAGCAAAAGGGCCTTTCCAGCAATCAGCAGCTCAACAAATTTACAAGCAGGTGAAAATCTGCAACAAGTCTGCATTTGTACATGCAAAGCACAACTGAGGCATGACTTGCATTTCTCACTCTCTACTGTAATAACAGGAGTTTGCTTCATGACAGCAGCTCTCAGTTAGTGTGCACAGCAGCAGGCACACCAAACACCCAGAGCGAGCAGCAGCACGAGCAGAAGGCTCACCCATCATTTTGCTACAGCAGTTTACAAACCCAGGTTGAAGAATTCACCGAGGCAGGAAGCTGCCCCACATCTTCTGCTAAGAACAGGCCAGTACCAGAGACACTTACTGGTCTTCCCGAGGTTAGAGGTGTTGATCCAAGCCCAGGACTAGACAGCTCATCATAAATGCTCCTGACGGGTGGAGCACCGCCTTTATCTTTATGTGTGGGGACCACTGGTTGTGGGGGAGATCCTCCTGCAATTCAGAGGAACGAAGGAAGAGCATGAGCAGACTTGCCACTGTACTCCACAGCTGCTTGGTTTTGAATCTTCAGTGGTAAATTCTGCTATGAAAAAAGCTGTTGGTTGTTTCACTGGGCATTTGCATCTGTTCAGGTTTGAATGGTCTACATAACACAGTGTCACATGTGTTAAACTGTATCCTTACAGAAGTACCACCTAAAACTTTTATACCTCTTCTTAACCCTTTATACTCTCTGTTAACATGCACGTGTTCTTTTTCGGAAGTTCTGAGCATACATCTAGCTACAATGAGCATATAATAGCTACATCTTCCTATTTGAAGGCAGGTTAGCAGTGTATTTTAATTGTTTCAGACACTAACTAGCCTGTAGAGTAGAGATGCAAAAGCAAGATTTTTAAGACTTGAGACGTACTACACGCTAAAGAACCATACCAAAATGCACACAGATGTATTCCATGTGATTGTTACATTCCCACTGCCTAAATTCCTTGGCTTCTCATCTCATTTCACATTAAATAAAAATGTAAGCAAGCTCTTGATAGCTCTAGCTTGCTTTTAGACAGGATGAAGTGAAGCCAGCTTCCCTCCCACAAACTTTGGGACTTCCAGCCTAACAGAGAATTAAACTGACTGAGAGAACTTGAGGCATCTAAACATTTTGTGTGGGTTTACCTCAGGAAAAGTAAAAAAAAAAGTTTACAGTTTTCACTTGCAAAACATTTAAAAACTAAGCTTTTCCACAGTACTTTTCAATCCTAAAATTCTGAGCTTCAAGACTCCACTCTGAAGTGTTTAACACATACAAGAACTGCTCCTGTTATATGCAATAACTGTATATTATATAAAGCACTCTCCCATCAAGGTTTTCAGTTTTAATGATGTATTTAATCACTCATTTTGGTAAGCCTGTTTTAGTACCTTACTGTTTCCTCCTTTTCTAAAATTGATACTTTGAGACTGTGATAAAGCCTTTTAAAATCAGTTGGGTGAAATTCCCATGACTACTTCCAATATCATAAATATTTCCCTAAGAGGTTTGTACTTGACAGGGTCAGGAAAGGCAGACAACAGCAAGAAGTAGGAGATCAACAGACCAACAATCACAGAACATTTTAAGTTGGAAGGGACCCAGAAGGATCATCGAATCCAATCCTGCCTGACATTCAAAGAAGAGAATATCTAAAATTCTCTTGCATTGCCTTAATCCTCAGTTTCTCCTTCAAGATGACTATTAACACCATCAGATATTAAATTATGCCAACTGATTTAGTAAAAAAGCCAAGATCACCCATGATGTGCTAACTACTCACTCATACTTCTCAGAGAAGAACACAGACACAATAATACCAACTTAAAACCATGTGTAAGAGCTCTTCCCAGTCTAATCAATCAGGTCACTGAAAAGAAATGAGTATCTACAGCTAGGAAGAGTCAGTGCTACTTCAGTTCAACGACAGCAGACATCAAGACTAACTACAACCACTAGATAATAATTAAGAAGCATTTTTTTAGTTTCTCTCCTCTCAGTTTTCACAAGTCTGACAATCCATGACATTTTAGAATTCACTGCAAAGAAACCAGCAGTTTGCACGTGCTGCACTTAGTTTGCCAGCAGACATCTGTTTTAAATAAAGAGAAAACTCTAATGGCTGTATGTGCAATTGACTTGTAAAGAGTTGTATAAATTGATTCTGTATTAGCAGAGATTTATATTAACTTCCCAGTAAAACAAAGTTTTCCTGGTACCAAAACTGCCATTTTTAAAACAGCTATTAAATTGAAGACTAGTTTGAAGAATTTAGCCAAACTCCATTGAATACACTCGAGTTCACCAGTTATTCAATCAGTGGAATTTGTTTATAGCAAGTTATAAAACTTGCTATAAGGATTCAAGTCTGCAACAGTCAAGCAGAACGACGAGACAAAGCAATTTGTTACTTTCAGGACAATTTTCCAGCATTTTCAGAGTCCTGACCTGCAAGTAGCGGAGACCTCGTTTCCATTACTCCAACTGAAGGGCCGCACAAAGCACGTGGCTGTGGAGTCACCGGCGCAGGTAAGTCACCCATCAAAAACCCGGGAAGGAACTGAGCACCAGCTCCTTGTTTGGGAGATGTCGGGGAGCCGAGAGTCATTGGCTCAGCTCCTGAAAACAAAACGTAAAACCAGGGAAAAGTGATCTAGCGTTTTTTTCCAACGCTTTGATTGTGGTTCTGTCAAAGAAATGTAACACGAGATACAGCAACTGATTAAGATCACAGAACGGCAGAATCCTTAGGATTGGAAGGGGCCTCTGGAGATCATCCAGGGCAGGGTCAGCTGGAGCAGGTGACACAGGAACATGCCCAGGTGAGTCTGGAATGCCTCCAGAGACGGAGACTCCAAGACCTCCCCGGACAGCCTGTTCCAGTGTCTTCCCACCTGCAATGGAAAGAAGTTCTTCCTCAGGTCGAGGTGGAACTTCTTGTGTTTTAGTTTATGGCCATTGCTCCTCATCCTGTTCTCATTGCCACCGAAAAGAGCCTGGCACCATCCTCCTGACACTCGTCTCTGAGATATTCACATGCATTAACGATTCCAAAGACGGTTCTATAATAATTCACTTTGCAAGTTTTGCAAGCCAAGTTTACCACAACCTCGCATTTTTCGCATCTACGAGCAGCGGCCGCTCGGTTTAACTCCAAGCCCGTTCCGCTTCACCCCAGAGGGAATATCAAGTGGTCTCGAGTTGTGCCAGGGGAGGTTTAGGTTAGATATTAGAAAGAATTTCTTTACAGAGAGGGTGGCCAGACATTGGAATGGGCTGCCCAGCGAAGCGGTGGATTCTCCGTCCCTGGAGATTTTTAAAAAGAGACTGGATGTGGCACTTAGTGCCGTGGCCTAGCAACCGCAGCGGTAGTGGATCAAAGGTTGGACTTGATGATCTCGAAGGTCCCTTCCAACCCAGCTGATTCTATGATTCCCCGTCCTGGCGCCGTCTCCCACCACCCACTCCAGCCCGGCGGCATCCAGACTCCTCCCGGCCGGGAGCAGGGGGTCAGCGCCGGCCCCGCTCCCTTCACCGGGACACTCGAGCGCGGGTGACGCCCAGGGACCCGCCGAGCAGGCCGTGAGGCGGCGCCCGGCACAGCGGCAGTGCGGGGGCGGCCCGCGGGCCCGGCTCACCTGCGGGCGGCGGCTCCATGGCGAAGGCGGCCATGGCGGCCCGGGCGGGAAGCAGGAGGCGGCGGCGGCTCCGCCGGGCGCTTTCAAACGGGATGGAGCTTCCTCCCTCCGTCACTTCCGACCCGCCCCCCGCCATCTTGGGCGGGAGGGGGGCGGGGGGAGCTCCCTGCTCGGGCCGGGCTCTCCCCTCACGGCTCCCCGGCAAACGGCTTCACCCACCCCACCCACCCCTCTCCCATCCCCGCGAAGGGCCAGGTCGGGAAAAAAAGAGTTGAAAGAACCGCAGTTACCGTTACAAGAGCTTGTGCTGCGCTGTTGTTTCCACGGGCTGAGAACTCAAAGCTGCCCCCTTGACTCCCCGGGGAAAGGGCTGCGGTCGCCGCCCGGGCTGCCACAGCCCGCCGAGCCCGGGGTACAACGCTGCGACCGCTGCCCTCGCACACGGTGACCAAGGGACTGCGATCAGATGCAGAGGGGTCGCCTAAGCCTCACATTAGCGTTTAGCGCAGAGTCATGGGATGGTTTGGGTTGGAAGGGACCGTAAAGATGATCTTCCACCCTCCTGCCATGGGCAGGGACACCTTCCACTAGCCCAGGTTGCTCCAAGCCCCATCCAGCCCGGCCTTGGACACTTCCAGGGATGGAGCAGCCACAGCTTCTCCGGGCAACCCGAGCCAGGGCCTCACCTCGGGGAAGGCCACCCTCAGGGAAGAACTTTTTCCTAATGTCTAATCCAAACTGTCTGTCAGTTTGGATCCATTCTCTCTTGCTCTGTCTTGAGCATGAGCAATTAATATTGAGAACACACGGTGTGGTTCAAACACAATGGCATGCAAAAGTTCAGACTATTGGTACCAAGAACGCCAATCTTGAAACCAAACCTTTCAAGTCACTTCAGCACACAATTTATCCAAACACAGGGTCCTTTTTATTTTACAGCATAATAATATATCAAACCATTAAGAACTGGCATGAAGGCCACAAAAAATACTATTAAAATCTTTCACAGATTTTGCGTGTGTATTGAACATGCCATCTTAAGACAGTAATTCCAGCCTGAGATGTCTCAGGAGCGCTGAAGTTACCTATCCTATGATGTCCATTCTTTACATATGGTGTGGAATGGAGTGAGGGAGCAGCAAATGTGGACTGAATGTGAAGAAAAGGCAATAGCAGTGAGCAGATAGGTTGTTATCAACATTTTTCATATCTCCACCGAAATGATTTACAAAAAAAACCTCTGCTGGTTCCAGCACTTTGGAAACATCACGTTAGTGCATTTCAAATCCCTACTTGATGAGAAACGGTAGAAAGACATGAAGCATGAAAGCATCCTACACATTTTGAGCATCCTCAAAAGACCATCTGTTTTAATTTCCAAAAAAATTTAATGGCTGGCTAGCCCACAGAAATCAATAAAATCCTCTTTACTTGCAATATAAATTTAAAATCCAATATGAAGGTACTTCATTATATGAACATTTTATTATCTAGATTTTACAACCGAACAGAATGCATACATTTGGAAAGTAAACGGGGCAACTTATCTCAGTTATTTTATTGTCTTTCTCGATTGCCTGCATTTTCTGATGTATCATAAAAAACCCCACCATCATTCTGTTGTTTTCTACTGTTTCAAGGAAAACTGAACTTTATCTTTCTATTAGCACTCTAGGAAGAGCTGGTTCTTGGGCAAAACTTCTCTGAAGTCAGTGGAATGTCATCTGGCCTATAGATGACATGCTGAAAGAAAGGGTCAAGGGAATATAAGAAAAAATATGTAATGACTCGAAAATGCACAAGGGAAAAGGGGATTGCAAAATGACAGATTAAAGGACATCCAACATCTGTGCCTGTATAGTCAAAACAGATTGTTTCCCTTCTCCCTTTTGATCAGTCGTGATCATTTATGCTTCCATTTTCTTTTAAAATCTGTTCTTGGTATTTGTGAAGCTGCTCCATGAAGCCAGGATTTGGACAAGCCGCAGGCCTCGCATTTTTCACCAAGGAAAAGGCTCTGGCAAAACTCAGTCTTTCCGAATTCATTAGAAAACCAATGACTACAGCCGCTGCACGGGAGACTCCTGCATTGCAGTGGACCAGTACCACGCCATCCTTCAAAAAAGAAATTAAACATAAGGTGGGATATTCATTAGGCAGATAAAAACAAGTATGTAGAAGCTTTACATAAAAATCTATTAAGACTTACTGAAAGCTCCTTGCTGAGCTCAAAGCAAATATTTATACACGTAAGTCCAAACACAGATACATAAGCCCAAAATTAAGTATTTTTCTAACCAAAGCCACTTTATAATTACCAAATACTTCAAATTTAATTCATGCCTTAAAACTAAAAAATATCCCTCTGTCCTTTTCCCTGAGTCCTTACAGGAGCCCCTTCATGTAAAAACCAAATCACAGACTCCCGGGATACTAAGATATCCGATCTAATTGGGTGCCAATTTTAAAATAGATTTTATTTGCAATATGGAAAGGAACTTGACAGTATCTTGTTAAAGGTTAAAACCAGTAAGGCAGCAAACAGCTGGGCACAGAGGCAGATTTTGGAATATCTTTTAGTTCTGGTCACACGCTTCTTTAAAAAGACACTGCAAGTTTCGTTAAGAAGTAACGAGCACGAATTAATGCAAAGACAGCCAGACAATCTAGTGTGGCTCAGGCAACGTTTGCAAGGCCCAGGCTTCATAACACTGTCATGTTTGTACATCAGATTACACCCTGGAAGAGGCTCCAAACTGTCTGCCAGGTGCCACTGCGACACAAAAACACACCACCAAACCCACAGCACCTCCATATTCTGAATGAAGGTACTGAAACACGACATGATTTGCTCAGGTACTTGAGAACTAAGCATATCCATTCTAGATATAAACAGCCTGCTCTGTCGGCCCTTAACAGGCACAAATTATTTAAGGAGCATTTTAGCCAGTGACAGAAAGACCAGTGAGTGACAAAAAGCACCAGGGTTCCTTTCCAGGAACTCGATGGTTTATGTTACAGAATTGGGAGCTGCAAATTATCTGGTCTATTAATAAACACACAAGAGCAGAAAATGGTTCCTGCTCCAGAAATCTCCCAGTTTAAGTAAAAAGACAAAGCAGGAAATTGAGTATTATTATTCATGCTGGAGAAATGCCAAGCTGGGACTAGAAGAATGACTTGCACAACAAGATTATGGCAGAGCTAGGCACTGAGTCTAAGCTCCTGCATCCCAATGAATCACAATATCATCCTTTCTTGCAATGGAAATCACATTCCCTGTGCACTGCCTGCTGCAAATTGCACTCTTCATTCCCTTTCTCACAGTCATAGGGCCGTGATTCCACAGACCATGGCAGAGTGGGAAGCAGACCTGTCCATGTATTTCAACTACCTGAGGGAGTGTCAGTGGTGACCTGTAAATCCAGAACGATGACATTAAAAATTATGCCACTGCTAATGAATCAATTGCTGAAGCTTATCTGCTGTAAATGTGGAGCAGTTTTTACTGCTTTAATGGGAGTTATTTCAGACATAATGCACCATAATCAAGATCAATATCTAGCAGTGGCACTAAGAGTAAATAATACACATGGGAAGCGACCTTTGTTTTTTTTCCCTTCGTAAAGTTCATGCTTTGTTTTCCTCTTTCACATATAAGTTTGATTTGGTTTTTTTTAATAACTGTTCTGTTTTACATTGTCAAAAATTATTTAGTGATATCCATGGATCCTGAAAATTACTGAACGTGAATGAACACGGGCAATAACATTAAACCAAATTTAACACTGAGAACTTTTATCTCTCCTTTTTAAACCCCCTTGTTTACAATTCATACAAAGATTAATTTGACATGTCATTCTTGACTAGTTTTGTATTAGCTATGAATATGAAATAAAGTGAGAAACAGATTGCAGATAGGAAATTTACCTCTGTTTACCAGGAACTCCTTGCTCTGACTGTGGTAACCTTTGCCTACCAAGAAATGGTCTGTGGTCTTGCAAAACATCTTTTAAAGACTCAAGACCAAGCTGGGGTTTTTTTTTAATTTTTCATAGAAAGGGAAACGAAATCACCTTCCACCGACAGAAAAAGTGATTATACAATGGCTATGTACAGTGGGCAAAAGAAATTAAAAAGAAGCATAAAACTTTAAGTTAATGTAGTTAGTTATGGATCCATTCTACTTTGGAGTGGAACCAAGTATTTTTCGTCAGGAAAGACAGAAGGAGCAATAAGGAGAGATGTTCATGAATAAACAGAGATTTCCTCCTTGGAAACAAAAGATTTTAGAGGTTTTATTATTCGATATTAAACAGAAATATGAAAGAGCAGTAGCACTATGGCCTGACATGTGTCACCTAACATGTCATGGAAAACCTGCCTGCCAATTTGGAGCTTAGAAGAAAAGGTGAGCTCTGATGGGTATCAGAATTTGTACCATGGTGTTGACAGACTTGAGCCATTAGAGTTTCAGAAAAGTTGATCCAGTTCCGAGTAGCAGCTGGCAGTGACTTGAGGAACAGCACAGGCTTCCCTTGCATCCTCAAACTGGAGTGCTCTCATAGTCTCTCATTGAGTTAATCACGTTCTAACAATAATTTCTCATATATCACACTCTCTCACCAGTGAACTTCTCTCCTTCCCTCATATTAAGAGATAAAGCACTCGTATCTCTGTGACTGCTTGAACAGAAGAGCACTTCATGACACAGTTTATCATAAGCCCTTTTAACCCTATTTTGACAAAGCAAATAAAGTGATTCAAGCCACCCAGAGATCTGTCTCTGCATACCACTATCACATGCTTTGTCAACTGATCCTGGAGAACAACTATTCCACCAATTACCTGCTCTTTCACCCACCTCTCCCATTAGAAAACTGTTAATATCGCTGTGAAAGTTTTCCTGAAAACTTCTTAGCTTACAAAATAGTAACCAGGACATAAACACCAGAGGCAGAAAGCAAAACTGTGCAGTTATGAATGGCAACTCTCATTTAGAAATGAAGTGGAAACCGTAACTAGATACCTTGAAAAGGTCATTAAGTGACAATGTGTATCACATAGCTCATAAATGATAAATGAGAGAAGGAAAGAACACTGCAACACAAAGAAAGCTGGGGCAAGATTATCTTCTTTTATCCCAACCTACATGAATAATGAATTTGGTAGATATGGTGGAATAACATGCAATAAGGTTTGGTTGTCAAGTCATA